CAATTTGTTTGAGCATGTTGGACAGTGATGATAAAAGATCAGATTTATGTTCTTGGTTTGTCATTTCAAAGTCAAAATGACGACCGAGGTACTTAAAAGAATTTCCATTCGAGACAGGTGGGATAGATTCGTTGTTTATGAAAAGCTTAGGTTGATACTGAAGAGAACGTGTGGAAAATTTCTTTATTCCAAAAGTGATGCATTTATCGACACGTATGATCATGTTAGCCCATTGGCACCAGCGAGTGAAACAATTCAGTAGAAGTTGGTTTTCTTTCTCGTTGCTGGTGATAACGGCAACATCGTCTGCGAATTGAAACCAATGGACTGGTTGAAACATACGGTCGTTCTGATCATGTGGGGAGAAACCTAACTGTTTGTATTTTTCAGCTTTTATGTACTGTATGAATGTGTTGAAGCATAGATTAAATAGTAGAGGACTGAGGCAGTCGCCTTGAAGAACACCGCGACGGACTGGAATAGCAGGAGTATTATAGTGGCTTGTGATGATAGAGGTTTTAAAATCGGTGTAAAGGCTAGAGATAAGAAGTTGTATGTTGTCAGGGATATGATGGTAAGATAGTACAGTGGGTATCAAATTATGATGTACTTCTCCAAATGCATTTTTAAGATCGAGAAGAGTGACAACTAGTGAACGTTGCTTGATACGAGCTTTGTTTATGACCTGAGCCATCATGGCAGTATGCTCTAAGGTCCCTGAAATATTCGAGGTGAAGCCTTTTTGTATTTCGTGCTCAATGAGACCATTAACTTTAAGAAAATTAAATAGACTGTCACGCAGGCATGATGTGAAGATTTTCAAAGGCACTGGCTCAAGAGTGATTGGCCTGAAGTTTGCTGGATCGTCATTGCTACCCTTTTTGTGAATTAGGATAGTGCATGCCTTTTTCCACTCTAAAGGAACTTTTCCAGAGAGCCAGATATTATGAATGATATTTGTTATCAAAGAGCGTAAATATGGACATCGTTTAAAAACAATGATGGAAATTTGGTCACGGGGACATGGAGTGGCTGAAGATTTCATACGCCGAATTACTGATGTGATCTTTTCATAAGAAGGAGGCTCCAAAGAAAAAGGGTGGTCAGGCTCCCTAAGAGATGGAATCCATGAAGGAATAGAAAAGTTTTTGCATGGCAACAGAGAAGAAAACATTTTAAAGAAATACTGAGAGCATTGATCTTTGGAAAAGGATGGCAGCAGAGTCGAGCTTGTTTGGAGAACGCGTTTGACGTATCCCCAAAAACTCTTTGAAATGAAGTTATCGTGATTTGAGATGTTTTTAACTACGGTAGAAGCAGATGAGTTAAGTCGTTGTCGTAAGAGCCGTGAAACGTATTTAATAATACTAATACTAATAATACTACTAATAATAATACTACTAATAATAATACTACTAATAATAATACTAATAATAATAATAATAATAATAATAATAATAATGAAAACATTTTTTATTTATATTCTTCTACTTACAACAGTAACCTCACTTTACAGGTAGTTACTATCGGCTAGCCTGGTGACAAGTTTACTAATTTTACAAAAGTTATAACATTTAAATAAATCATATGAGTGCAAAGAATCTTTAGAAGGAGAGCAGTTCAGGGTTTGTCCAAGTCTTATTGCGCATACAGAATATATAATAGGATGTCCGTATAATTATTGCTGACAGTTTTTTAATTATAAAATTACGGTGTTGGTAGTCAAGTTTTAGTTCATCACACATATCGATGAAAGAATCACAGGAGTTACCAAAGATACCGAGACAGCTGATGGAAAGATTAACAAAGTTTACTTTTTTGAACTTAGGGCGTAGTTCCTTTAGAAGGGAACGGTACTTCTCAGCTTTACGCGAAGCGTTATTGTCCAGGTTAGTCTCGAACCCAACAGTTAATTCGATGACATACAGACAGTTAGAAGCAGTTTTGATTAGCATGTCGGGACGGAACGAATCGCCAGTTATGATACATGGTGATAAATAAGCGGGAATGTCAGCATATATGAATACATCTCGGATACATTGAAATGATGATGCAATGAAGTGCAGGGCAGAGTCGTGCCTCCAAGTAAAACGCCCTTGCTCAAGGTATTTGTTACATCCAGCTACGACATGAAGAAGTGATTCAGGCTGAAGGCAGAATGAGCAATCTGGAGAAGAGCTAATTTTCCATAAGCAGAGGTTGTTCCTTGTGTTCCTAGTGTGTTGTTGAGATACCTTATCGTAAAGTTGAAGATGTTTTTTGGAAGTTTACTTTGAGCTGCAGACCAGAGTGAGGCTAACTTTGTATAGGAATGCTCAAGCAGGAATGAAATGATGAAGCCTTGAGATGTTAACTGAGTTTTGAGCTTTTCAGTGTGTTCATCCCTTACACATTTCAGTACCGCCTTAGTGTTCTTGTATGCGTCGAACTGTATATTAGGTCCATAATTGGTGTTCATCCATAGGGATTTGATGTTTTCGTTGGGCGAAGATTTGAGTGAGTTTCGAAGAACAATCTGGCACTGTTGAAACTTTACGGAAGGAAGCAGAAGCTCAAGACCAAAGTGTTTACGAGAAAGAACTATGCCACTCAATGTCGAAGATATTGGAAGCTCGAGCCACTGTCGAACGAATTTTGTGACAAGCTGATCTAAGTTTTCGCAAACCCACGTTTTGGAGAGATTAGCAACTGTGAGATCCCAAGAGAGCTTTGAAAGGATGTATTGATTAAACAGTAGAATTTTGTTCCGCGGGTGAATTTTCAAGGAATCGATAACTTTGAGCATCTCACGGAGAGAAGACGTCAAGTGATCCTTGTGTTCCTGGTTCTTCATATCATAATTGAAGAAACGACCCAGGTATTTGAAAGATTCGCCATGTTTCACAAAAGGGACAGGATCGTTGTTAATGAAGAGTTTAGGCTGAAACTGTGCAGATCTAGTTGCAAACTTTTTAATTCCAAAGGTGATGCACTTGTCTACGCGGATGATCATACTTGCCCATTGGCACCATCTTGTAAAACAGTTTAGCAATAATTGATTTTCGCGTTCATCACTTGTGCAACTGCAGCATCATCAGCGAATTGAAACCAGTGAACCGGGTTAAACAAGCGATCATTGCCGTCATGAGGAGAAAATCCAAGTTGTTTATATTTGTCTTGTTTTACCAGCTGAATGAAGGTGTTGAAACATAAATTGAAAATGAGAGGGCTGAGGCAGTCCCCTTGCAGTACTCCTCTTTTGACTGGAATGGCCGGAGACCTGAAATTATCGGTTAAAATTGAAGTGTGGAAATCAGTATAAAGATTAGACACGAGATCTTGAAAGTGAGCAGGGATGTGATGATAGTCCATAGTTTTAATGATTAAGTTATGATGGACCTCTCCAAATGCGTTCTTTAAATCCAAAAGAGTGACAACCACAGAGCGTTGCTTTATGCGTGCTTTATTGATAATATGGGCCATCAGTGAAGTATGTTCCGGCACTCCAGAGATGTTAGGAGTGAACCCTTTCTGGATCTCGTGTTCAATGAAATTATTTTGTTTGAGAAAGGAAAACAGAGCATCACGCAGGCAAGAGGTAAATATTTTTAGCGGTACAGACTCGAGGGTAATAGGTCGAAAGTTTGCCGGATCATCAATGCTGCCTTTTTTATAGACTAAAACTGTACAAGCTTTTTTCCATTCGCTAGGAACGTGGCCCGTGGTCCACATAACACGTATTATTTCAGTCAGAAATGACCGGAGGTAAAGGCATCTCTTGAAACAAATAATAGAAATCTTGTCCAAAGAGCATGGAGATCCTGCTGACTTCATTTTGCGAATAACTTTTGTCACTTTTTCATAAGACGGGGGTTCTGTATCAAATGGAACTGAAGGTTGAGAAAGAGAAGGAATCCATGGAGGTATGACAAATTGCCGGTCTGGGAAGACTGCTGAAAACATTTTAACGAAAAATTGTGTACAACGGTTAACAGAGAATGATGGCAGAACGGCAGATTGTTTTTCGATAACATTTTTTACGAAACTCCAGAGGTTCTTCGAGATGAGCTTATCGTAATCTTAGGATGTTGTTGCAGAGCTGCATATGTTACGATCCTGGCTGAGTTTTGATCGAAGAAGGCGGGATACAAATTTAATTTCAGTAGGTGGAGCACTTGACAATTTCAGACGTTTTAATTCTTTCTTGAGTGATTGTTTGGAGCAGTCCTTATATTTGTTAAGTAGATCATTATCATGAGTTCCGTTGACGGTTCCGTATGAATGTTTAAAATAGTTGTAAATTGAATCGTTCATGAATTTAATCGTGGAATCAAGAGAGACTTTCTCAATTTTGGTGTTAATAAAGATAGATTTAAAATAATTGTTAGCAGTATTCCATTGATCATCAGTCTTAGGCAGACGTACACCAGGTTTGATTTCATAATCACAAAGTGTATCCGTTGTCACTTCCGTATGGCTGATCAGTGATTGGTTGGCGCCAATATTTGAATTTTCAAAATCCAACGGTTGATCCTCTAGGCCTTCAATTACTCTGCATCGTCTTTGGTGCATTTTCAGTCCTTTAGCACCCGAACATTCTTTCCCACAGACACATTTAACTATACCCGACGTCTGGAGGGCATTTTTGTCAGACTCTGATGTGATATTAATCGTGTTGTTTGGTCCAGCTCTCGGGCAATCTTTTTCTGCAGCGCCATGTGTGGCGGCCTAGCACCTTAAAATCCTTTCCGCAGTACGAGCAAACCACTGAAATTATTAGAAGCCATAGTAAGCGAGGTCGCAGCATAACGATTCTGGCTCGGTTGAATACAATATACTAATTCGTATCTTTAAATAAGCGTTGTAGACATCCAGGCTGTTTGAAAAATCGAAGAGAAACGAGATCGTGTACAATGTGCGT